TCAAAACTCTTCATTGGTGTTAGCTGAAATCAACTTTTGGCAAGGCAAGAGTCAAAAACTCGATAAGGGGTCAAATACGCATAACTAGAAACTAGAACCTGTTTCCTAGAAGCAGCAAATCAAAAAAATCATGCTATATGAAGTGTAATTTGTAATTCAAAAAGCTAGTCATAGTTTTGAAAAGCTCATTGAGACAAATCTAATGATGTATAACACAAGACTTCGCAGAGGTGTCTTGAGCGCAGAAAAGCTCATTGAGACAAATCTAATGATGTATAACACAAGACTTCGCAGAGGTGTCTTGAGCGCACCATGGGTGCTTTGCCCCGTGAAACGCATGGGCCTGTTGCCCCACTAGGTATCATTTCCATTTATATCGTGTCAACATTTTATTGCATAAGCTAATAGTCTAAACTTGATCTCAAAATTATCCCTATAAATATTACTTTCTAAATATAATTCTCAGTAATTTCAGAAGCTTCATCTACAGTAATCGAAAACAGTTTTATTTAGCAGCAAAAAAAAAAATTTATCTGGGCTAAAACAGTTATTCACAAATAACTTAACAACGCAAACTCTTAGCAAAACATAAATCCGTACACTTCATCCCAGTGAAACTGTAGATCGGCGGTAGAGATCACGGACCAATATCTGCCATACTTAGCGAGAAACCCGCTAAGGGCCGGTAACCGCAGTGGTCCGTTTGCCCCATGTTACCCTACTATGGACAGTTAAACTTTACGTTAATAAAACCTACTAGTTCTATAGCTTAAGCGTCATAGCTAGTTTTTTTAGTATAACTTCTTAATTATCTCAGTATAATAATTTCTCATTTTTATTTTATGTCCAAAATAAGTAAAAAATATTGTGCAAGCTGAAATAAAAAAGGTTTTTCTATCCCATTCATCATTCATATGTCTGATATTTTATCTTTTTGTCTACACAGCTGACGTTCTCTTATTTAATCTTAGGAATAGTTTTACAAAGCTGACCATCATAATTAATGATTTTCTGAGCATAATGACTTGTTCCCTACTAATTTTACATCAGACAAATACATTTATGCCAAATTTTATCAGTAGAAGAAGAAAAAAAGAAACGCTGAGAATTCATCGGACTTTAAAAAGCATAAAATTATCGATAAAATGGTATTTTTATTACAAAATATTGCAATATTTCTTAATTTATATAATTTAGCTCATAATATAGATATAATTTTATTTATTAGCTAAAAAATTGGTTTTTGGCAACAAAACTGTTCCAGTCTACTAATTCAAACCGCTGCATATCAACATATAGTTTACTTTGGCGGCCATTTTGAAAATCACTGATTTGAAGCCTTTCCACCAATTATATTTCAGAGGATTTTTTATATGTCTTTTCTGAGGCCTTTCTGCATGTTATAGTGATGGATAAAATTCTTTTGCAATTTGTTCTAGGTTGACCCCTTTTTTCGCTAGGTTTCCTGGACTACATTGGGGAACTTGAAATTCTACCTTCAATATCGCTTCATTGAACCGCCCGTTCTTCAAAGATTTTTTAACTGCAGCATATGGATTATCCAATTCGGCTTCTCATAAAACTAGCCCGATCAACGCCAGTTGCACGTTAAATTAATCTGAATAAATATCAGCTGACTATTCTTTATTTATTTGTCCGATTGTGTGAGTCAATCCTAATTACTCACAAGTTTTTCGATAGCTTATCTCTGACATGATGAAACTTAATTGTTTCTGTCGTGTTGTTAAATTATCAGGTATTATAAGCGTACACTAAATGGAGTACAAATCTCTACGGGCAAAAATATTCAATCAACGTAAAAATAGAAATACTTTCTCAAATATCGAACTTTTTTGTCAAGCGTCCGTCATTTGCGCTCACCTGGACAATTGTTCGTGTTCGTACTGATTTTTTTGTCGCGGTTATAACTGAACCCTATATAACTGAACCCCTCAAGCACCTGACAATCGCATAACCTTTACTACCTGCTGCACCGTATTAACATTTCTATGTCCTTATGGTGTTAATATGGTTTTATTTTTGATGCGATTCGGGCTTGTTGTCCTAGCTGTGGTGAAAAGAGAGGTAAGCAAGCATGGTGTCCATGATATGATCAAGTGTGCTGATACGCCGTCTTTACATACTACTAATGCTTCATGATCAGAAATAATTTATGACCATTTCTACATAGCATATGATCGCAGCGATCTTGCTACGATCACAGTACATCACGTACAGTATGCAACTGAGAATTTGTATAGAAGTCAAGAATTCAGCGGAAATTATGAATGGTTTGTTGATTGTAAATAAATTTTCTTGGAATATACACTAATTATAAATTGAAATGCTGGTCTATCGTTCAATATCGCCGCTAAATATACATTTAGTATAAAAATATATTTATAAGCTGATGAGGACTCGATCGGCTTTCGAATGAAGTACGGAACAATTAACTGGATCTTAAGATAGTTATATTAATTACAAGGCGTACTAAGGGAAGATTTGAGGGAACTTCATCTTAAGGCTTTTCCATGGATTAAAGTCAATTTATGCTTTTTTAATTATATGTGAACGTAATGCGGCAAAGATTTACTTATTCCTGTAGTAGAATGACTTTCGGACTTGAGTGGTGTTTAAGAAATAAAGGTCATCCATTCAGTATGTAATATCAAATTCCTCCATTTAATAGGTCGAGTTACAATATTTGCGCTGTTTATCATACAACGCACTAAACCAATCCAATAAAATTTAATATACAGCTTGAGATTTTCTGAATCCTTATACAAAATGATCGATAAGAGTCAGATAGTGGTTTCCACAAAGCTTGCCACGGCTGTGCGACTTATAGTCTGTGATAAGGAAATCTCGCGGATTTCGAGGCGCTGACAAACAGTTTATGTACAAAGTTTACAAGTAAAACATGAAAATTGCAAGATTGAAACGAGGGAAATAGAGTTTACTTAAATTCTTCATTTATAGAAGCCCCCGATGGTGTGCATGTTATACATAATTAACCAGCATCAGTTCTCACTGCACTGTAACAATCCACCGAAGTCCGAACTGGTTACTTCCCCCCTCACCCGCATAATTACCTCTAAATAACCTTAAACACATTGGGCGCAACTGTCCTAAATAATTTATGCTCATATAGCGCGTATCTCCGTCTCTTTATGTCATTCTTTTTTTACCTTCTTCATTCCAGCTACTATGCGCCCATTCCATTCCAGCTGCGCCCCAGCTTCATTCCAGCTACTTATTTACGCCCATTGTTTCCTTATGACACCATCACCAACATGGGGTGCTGTGGGTAAATTGTAGGCCAAAAATTTTCCTGACTGGAGAGCAATCAATATCTGCAGCAGAACATTATATACTGATTTTCTCATTCGATGCAGCAAAGTCATTGACTCAGTTTATTATATACCTTGACTCATTCACAAGTTTGAAAATTTAAACGCGCAAGTGAGAAGATTTTATTCCCCAAATCTCTTCCTGTTTATTAACTTTCTGATTATATAATACAAAGATATTCAAAAAAATGAATAGTTCGACAAAAGTTACTGCCTATGCTAATTTTTTCGCATTAAAAATTCAAATAAATTTCGATTGAGCGCAATACTCCCGTCATAATTAAGTCATATATATGTAAGTTTTATTAAAATCATACCTCTAATGCCTTCTCCGACTTCACCAGGACTTCCTCTTCACAGACTCTCAGAGCCGCTCCGTAGCGCTACCACGGTCTCATGCACGGTTTTCCTGCGGTGCAGAAAAAATGCTGTTTATGACGACTCAACTGATACGACAACTCAACGCATACGGCTGTTCCATGAGATACATACTGAGCCATGAGCTATATACTGATGTATGAGATACATACTGATCCATGAGACATATACTGAACCATGAGATATATACTGAGCCATGAGATATATACTGATGCATGAGATATATACTGAGCCATGAGATATATACTGATCCATGAGACTTATACTGATCCATGAGATATATACTGATCCATGAGATATATACTGAGCCGTGAGATATATACTGATCCATGAGACTTATACTGATCCATGAGATATATACTGAGCCATGAGATATATACTGATGCATGAGATACATACTGATCCATGAGATATATAATGATCCGTGAGATATATACTGATTCATGAGATATATAATGATTCATGAGACATATACTGATCCATGAGATATATACTGAACCATGAAAATATTTCTGTGACATAAAATCCATAAATATGCCAAGTTGAAATCACTAAGTTAATTGATAATCGATAACATGAATAATTAATATAAACTGAAGTTAATAATTCACTTATGTTTGAAGTTCTATGATATTCTTGATCTTATTTCTTATCTCTGCGTGTTCGGACAAACTCAAATCTTTCCAATACGCTCAATGATAAACCACAGGATCATTTTCTTAAAGCTCTATTTGCAAGGCTGACTCACATCGATCGCGTGATCCTGATGAGTCATGTCGTAATTATGTATATGACAGAGACTTGTTATCGCTTTAGCACAGGCTTTATTTAGCCATTTCGAACGAACGAATTTTGACGTTTCACTTACGCTAATTGATAAAATCTGCAGTATCTTCTCCCTAAAGCTCCTATATCGAGGATTGCTAAATAAACTTTTCTTAAGCTCTTCCTCGCAATCAGAAGCGAGGTCCTCTATATAAAGAGATCGACTGCCGCGAAGTCTCATACACCTCTGCGCAACTCCACCTCGACTGCGTGTCACTTTAAGCGTAATCGCAGCACGGCAATTTGATGTCTGAGTTCAAAATAGTGTTACAATCAATAAAATTCTAATTATTTTGAATCTTTGCAAGACAATACTTAACAATTATTATTAGTTCAAATTTCACCATAGGAATCGCCATTTTTTATTCTACAAGAATTTCTTAAATTCATTCTCTTTCAGATTTCAGAACTAATTCCATCCCCTTTTTTTTGAACGCTAAAATCAAAATGGGTTATGGAACAGCGACGATTGTGGCACTCGTTACCTATATCTCACTGGCAGCTTTTTGGGAAGCTTCGGTGGTGACACTAGCGGCCTGGGTCATATCAGCAGGTAAGATTTAATCAAATAATTTAATGATCATCAGTGGCAAATGTTTCACGAACCTACCAAACGACCCTGAGTTGGTATGGTATTGATGAGGATTGAACTTGAATTCCATTACACTAAATCGATTTTGAGCGAAAAGAGAAATTTATACGTAAACCGTCCAGAAGCCTGAATTTTGTTTCGAAAAAACAAAGATGTCATTATTCAATCGAAAACACTAAAAATTATTCATTACCGTGGATGTCTGAATAATCTTGAATTTGATGTTTCACTAAAGACATTTCGAATGCGTACTATTTCAAAACTGGAGTAGGAAACCAAAGACGTAACGCATTATTTAATTTTAATCTTTCAATTTTGTAGTCTCAGGCCTGCCGGTTGTCCTGCGACTTGCAAGCTATGGCTTAGCTATATTCGCAATAACCCTAATCTGGTCTTTCCTTGCCCGGGGAGAGGCTCGGAGAAAATGGAGCCGGCAAGTGCTACATGGTAATTGATAATAATAATAAATAATTTATTACTGAATTTATTAATTCAGAACTATTTTATTCATGAGAACCTAAATAGTGGAGTGAACCATTATAGGTTTTTCTTGCATCGGCAGCGTAGCCCCAGCTTTATTCAAGTAGCAATAAGTTTAGATACCACATACAGCATGTAATCTGTAAAACTACCCACATTTTCTTCTTATTCAGCTATAACAGTCGAGGAAGGTCGAGATTTGAAGGAGAATTTCCAGAAGATGCGTTCGATCATGCGCGGTAAGCATGGTATATTCATCAAATATCATCATTAAGACAATGACAGCACATTATCATATTTTATCTGCGATTATATTTCAACCAATAACCTGTTTCATTCAATAGACATTGAATCAACGAAATATATTTGGCATAATAGTAATAAAAGCTTCCGACATGAGGCGCGATATTTGGCATACAACATAGATTTACCTTCGACCGGAAACAAAAATTGAGAATGAAAAATTTACAGCGGAAGTTCGGGAGCTTATATAAATGACTGAATAATAATTCAGATTAGGCCTGAAATACAAAATATAAGAGAACAGAAATATTGAATAATTTTTCCTCAACAGAGCAGCTGGAAGCGTTCATCGGTGCTGCAAAAAATGAGCGCGACGTGATTATCGAGGACGAGGCTGCGTTCGCCTCCCTATTACTTAATGCTCTAAATTATTACGACCAGATCTCCCGTCACCGCAGTCAACCGGCCATAACCAATTCAACCTCATTACATGAGTGATAACACTGAAATAATTCCACGCATATAACATTCCAGCCTCACCACACAATATACACATCTCATCCTATTCATATGATATGACATCAATTAAGACACACCAATGCATACACATGCACCACATAGGTACAACCCTGCATCACTCACCTAGTGGGATGGCTAGCACTAGACAGACTCAAAACAGCCCCCCGAAATAAACAAACACACTACCACACTGACGATAATTTGAAATAGCTACTGGAACTTAACCGGATTCGATATGGTGCTATATATAATCATTTCAAATATGAACATATATCTTTCCATAAGCTTCATCTAGTCTGTTCTTGAACGCGTTCATACTTGGAGCGCCAACGATGTCATCGGGGAGGCTGTTCCACATGTCGGTGATTCGAAGCGAGAAGAAATTTTGTCGCGTGGATAAGTTGCAGCGCAGTTTTTTTAGCTTATAGCCGTGGCCCCTGGTGTTGGTTCTTGTTTCAAATTCTAGTAATCCTTCGGGGACCTTGTATAGACCATGAGTATACTTGTATACTTCTATGAGGTCCCCACGCAGACGTCGATAACTGAGGCTTGGAAGCTTCATAATCTTCAATCTTTCTTCATAGGACTTGCCCTTCAAGCCTGGAATTATCCTTTTTGCACGTCTTCGTACACTCTCTATTAAATTTTTGTCCTTTTCAAATCTCGGTGACCACACAACGTTTCCAAACTCTAGGTTCAGGCGCACGACAGCAACAAACAACTGCTTCATCGCATACGACGGCTCAGCGCATGCATTTCAAAGCATACGAAGACTCAGAATTTGTGAAATTCAATTGGCGATAAACTAGCTTGATTTCTAACCTGTCAGTGTCTCGTGTTATTTATGTCGTGTGAATTTTTGCTATTTTTTTGTTTTCGTTCAACATGATTTTGGTTCTTGACTGACTTAAAAAAATATTTATTTTTTCCACCCTAACGCTTATTAACCTATTTAAATAGCTTTATTAATGAATTCCCTATTGAATAATATTGTACTTTGTAGTTCAATTCATTGAACGGATTTCACAATATGCAGTCTTTGTTTGCGTTCAACAATAAAAAACGATCTATTTTATTGTGCTTACGGAAGATAAGGAATCTTGCTATTGAGACCATTTCAAAGCAAAATGTAAAGGACAATGGAAACAAAAGTCGCAATTCAGATGAAGTGTGCAAGATTTATGTAATAAAAATTATAGATCATGTGCTGTAAATTGCGCTTTATACCAAAAGAAGACGGCTTGGCAATTTCGCGTAATTAATTGTTATGGCCATGTTAAATTATTTTAAATTTTTTTATATCCGAAATAAATATTGGCTTATGTATTCACACAAAAAAGTTTTCCTCATCTTAATACAATCGCATTAATAAAGGTTGAAATAGTTTATTTTTGTGATTAGATGAATTTTTCAAACCATCAACAGAATCAAGTTTACATTAAATGACGAATTGTTTTTTATATGAAATTGTGGTATGGAAAAATTGATGTAAACATTCTCAAGAGAAATGTAAAATGTGAAAACATTGAATATAATAGTAATAATACGCTGATGAATTAGAACGTCGAAGTCTTATATATAAACAAACACTAAGTAATTATTGATGATTCTAGATTTCTTCTACAGTTGTAAACAAACACATATTGTAGGTAAAAATGTTATTTGCTTATTATTTTTTCATATATTCATTTATCATTTCAAACAATAATGGGCGCTCAATTAGCTCAAGGAAAATATTCTTGAAGCATATTCCCAAAATGTCTGCGGAACTCTTCCCTGCAATTTATGTCAATAAAGTTGGCGAAATTTTAGGCATCGAGTTGAGGAAATAGTATAAACATTATTTATTATTCATATTTCAAGTTCTGTTTAATTTGCATTGAAATAACTCATGATTTAATGTGATTTAACAGAAGCCATTTTCCACGGTCTGATAAAAAGAATTTTTCATGCCTAATACGAGTTTAGCACTAAATTGTAGGGAGGTATTAGTCACACAATAAGTAAAATAAATTCTTAAATAATCTCAAATAATTTATTCAACAATTTTGAGTCCACAATAAAAATGATAGCAGAAGATATATTTCTGGATAGCAAGTTCATATGGTTAATATATAGATTTAATAGTGAAATAGAGACAATCATAGCTTCATATTTGTGCTCCTAGAAATTAATATTATACTTTCAGTTAATATATATCTTTTACTAGTAAAATTGAGACCATTCCAGCATCCTGTTGGAGCACCTAGAGCCCACTATTAGACTTGGAATTAATCTATGTGTTTTCCAATTTAAATATATACATTCCCGCTGCCTATTTTTGCTCCAGTTGTTTTGTTTATTATCACACTTGGAAGTCTTGCATGTATTTTCTTAGTGTAGTGCAGGGCGCCGTCACTCATATTTATGAAAAAATTATCTTCCCATGAAAGCATAACATAAAATTTAATTTCTTTCTCATCAATCTGCTCCAAGATAAATTTTAAGAAAATAATTTCGTTCTTTATTAAACGACAAATCCAGAATCTTCATGCATTATTCGCTGATAATTTATAAATTTGAATTTCAATTCATATCGGATCATGGTTATAAATTTTGCTGGTAAGCTCCTTTATTCGCCTTTAGTGCACATTTTAACCAGTGATTCGGTTAACGCTTAGTATACTAGCACCTTTATCAGCCAAAGATGAGTAAAAACATTTAACTTTTTATCTGGAAACATTCGGAATTATAATGTTTTTTAATTAAACTTGTAATATATGACATACTATTATATCTTGCAAGGCAAATAAAATATAGATTAATAATATACGTGAATGAATGTTTTTCGGAACATGTGAAATGAAGAGATCACTTTGTTACTCATATAATAAACTTGATGAAGTTGGAAATATCAGAGGAAACTATTTATTTTTTCATTTGGAAAATTAGTTCTTATATTATGAACAAATTGTGGAGGTAATTCGTGCTTCAGCCTCATTTGACTGCATGGAATTTCATTTATTTTCCGTCAAAAAATTTCGAAATTATTCCTATTTGTTAGCCATTTTTATTTTAATCTGCGGATCCTTTAGAATTATTGTTGGAAATTATCAATCTGGCGTTCTATTACTAATTTTTAAGATCCAATTCAAATAGTTGGAATCTGCATCCCCATATAAATGAATTCCGCATTTCTGACTAAAACTTAATAAGCCACTATGATAAAATAGAAAAATAAATATTTTTACCTCTCACTATTCTTCAGCAATAGGGCAATATGGGGCAGCGCGCCCCCCTTTTTTTTAAACTATATATTTGATGAAATTTTAATTGATACGAGGTGTTTCTTTGTTTCGTTTAAAGGTACAACTAATGAGGAATGTATGATGTGAATTAGACGCCTATAGAATTATTCAATTTTTATTGAAACACCATTTTGTAGTGTCAAGTCAAAATGTGCCCATTGCCCCACCCCTGGGGCAATAGGCCCATGGGCTTGGGGCAAGGCGCCCTGCACCCTTGGTCCCTTTACCACAATTGCATATTTTTCGTTTAAAAATGATAAGACATCACTTTACAGGTAAAAATTAAGAAAAATGTAATACAAAATATGACATTCATTCATTTATTAAAAACTCAAAAACGCATATCCTTAACTTGAAAAAATATACTTTTGGCTTAAAAATTCTATCACTGACGTGAATAAAAATATTTCATTAACATAACATATATATCCTTGACTTGAAAAATATATCCTTGCGATAAAAAATTGGCCCTGAAAAAATGTATCCTTGACTAGAAAAAATATATTTAGTTGATCAGAAAAAAAGTTCGTTCCAGTTTCGTCCATAATCCAGATATTATGTGCAGAGAATTCGTACCTAATCGTGATTTCAGCGAACACCATGAAAACTCATCAACTTTTGGCTCCTTGGTGTTGACTGAAATCAACTTTTGGCAAGGCAAGAGTCAATAACTCGATAAGGGGTCATAAATACGCATAACTAGAAACTAAACCTGCTGCTTTGACGCGAAATAAAAAAATCATGCAATATGAAGTGTAATTTGTAATTCAAAAAGCTAGTCATAGTTTGAAAAGGTCATTGAGACAAATCTAATGGTGTATAACACAAGTCTTCACCATGGGCGCTTTGCCCCGTGACACGCGTGGGCCCGTTGCCCTGTAGAGGAAATAGATTTATTGCTGATTTTTAAGTTGCAATGTATTAGGTTTAGGATTTGTTATTTTCATTTTCAGTTTTCAATCACCCTAGCCGTGACCTCCCGCAACATTGCGTTTTACCTGTCATTGTGTCTAGTGTTCTTGCCGTGGAGGAAGGCCCCGATGTTCGAACTCGATATATGAGCTCAAGTTATGAACTATATTTGGACGTGATTAGTGAATTGAAAGTGAATGAACGCACGGTTAAAGTCAAGTTAAAGTGAGGTTAGGATTAGGGTGTTAGGTTTGTTGTGTTTTGTTTCTATTTATTCATTGTTAATTATATTTACTTGAAACTGTTTATTCATTGAAGAAAATCCTTGCCCCTGAACGGTTTATTAAAGTCTTGAAGAACGATCACGTGCTATGTGTCGGGGAGACGTCAGTTTAATAAGAGATAGTCATCCAAAAGCCCCACTAGTTATCATTTCAATTTATATCGTGTCAACATTTTATTTTAAAAGTTAATAGTCTAAACTTGATCTCAAAATTATCCCTATAAATATTACTTTCAAAATATAATTCACAGTAATTTCAAAAGCTTCATCTACACTTATTGAAAACAGTTTTATTTAGCAGCAAAAAAATTTTATCTGGGCTAAAACAGTTATTCACAAATTACTTAATAACGCAAACACTTAGCAAAACGTAAATCCGTACACTTCATCCCAGTGAAACTGTCGACCGGCGGTAGAGAACACGGACCAATATCTGCCATACTTAGCGAGAAACCTGCTATGGGCCCATGACCCGCAGTGGGCACGCTGCCCCATGTTACCCTACCGACTGAATAACCCGAGTAAATCAGATGAAGAAACTGTTACCGTATATTTGAATAGATTTAACGCCATATCATGATGTGGGATGCATCAGCTCAAGTGCAGTTACTCATACAATGGAATTTAATATCCGAATTCAGCTGAGAAAACTTAACTCCACATCGTTCTCAGAATCAAAAGAGAACGAACAAAAAGAGCTTTCAGAGAATATCTTTATGACTTCAGAGTGAAGTAAATGCACCAAATAGAATTAAATTAATTAATTTACAGACATAAAAAATATCGATTCAAAATGCTAATAATAATGTTAGGTGCAGTGCTGTAATTACCTGTATTATTCGGTTGCTGAACACCATGCAACGATGGTCTGAAGTTATGCATCCTGAATTTCGGAGTTTAATTGTCGCTACTGACCAAAAACGTCATTGAGATTTTACAATTTATTAAGTGCATTAATATAAAAAAGTGTAATGGAATTGATGTCACTTATTTCCTTAAATCGCAAATTTACTAAGAATTTAAAAGCAAAGAATAGTCCGCAAAAATTCATATCTTTATAGAAAACGTTTCGGAGACCAGCTCCAGCGTCAGTTCGCAGAATCTAGAATCACAAATCAGAAGTCACAAATTAATACAGTGAAAGCACAGAACGAAATTAAAAACCTAAATTTACAAGTAATAGCGTGTAATTAATGATTACTAATTGAATTAAGATTATTACAATAAATAATCGGTACCACCGTACAAATCATGTTGGAATATTTATCAGTTTAGGCCTAGTCTATTCGCGTGACATCACCTGCCAGGATCAATATTATATGAATGGCAAACGCTGGCACTTCAGTGACCGACGAAACAAGTCTGCATCAAAAGCTACGGCTGCTGAAATTATTTGAGTTTGTTTGCTAATTTGAATGCAATCTCGTTTTGTTTTTGAAATGCTCTCCTTGTTAATTATGATGAACTGCAAAAATTAAGACTGGAGAAGAGCTTATTGCCAGAACATACATTAGCAATTACTGGCATATGACAAACCATATATTATAATGAGATACCAAAAATTTAACAAGGTTTCCGAATTGACGAGCGTCTTCTTGAGCGACGCGAAATTCGAATTCATTTGTGTCGGGCCCCGTAAAAGTTCATCATTAAATCAGTGTATGATAGATATTTCTCACAAATAAATCAAATTTTGATTTGTGATCGCATGAATTGGAAATAACTTAGATATTGTTAAATAATCAAATGTCACTAAAATTAATCATGAAATATTAATCAAGCAGGATGATCGTAGCAGAGACCAGGATTGCATAGGCGACTTGGTTCAAATGGGGAACTTGAGGCCTGTGGGCGGTTGAAGGAGCGTGTGTTGGGCCAATCTTTGCAGATTCAGGAGCAGATTCTTTCAACGAAAGTGACATGATTGTAAAATCATAAATAACAGTAACAGGAGAAGTTTATGCTACAATGTTGAGGCAGCATATCCAAAAAAGAAATTTTTCCTTATGTCGGGCAGCAAACCAAAAATGCATTCATTCACATTTACATTTCCACCTGACATATGTAAGTATTTATTATTGAGCCTTCTTCACCAGAATTCGAAATTCAATACTCAGTAAATAGTTCACATAAAAGCCAACGAGCTGAAACACATTGAAAAAAAAATCTGATGCTACTGCAAGCATTACATTTTACTGATATGGATTTGTATCAGGTTCCCTATTTTACATACTGTTACTTTACAGCAAAATGACGCACGTTGAATTGAATATTGATGATACTCTCGAACCTATACGTACGGAATTCTATCATTTTCCTATATTGAAACTATCATTGATTGGATGTTTCTGTGCGAGTCGGGAACGGCCTTCGCGTTGTATGACGCAAATGGACCATGCGCTGTCTGGGTGATCAATTACGTCGCAAAAAACTTTACAAATCTTTGTATTTAAGATCTCCAGAGATGAAGGAATTGTTTACTATTCCCTCTAAACAGAACCAAATACCTTCGCTCTGTTTTTTTTTCTTTTAGAAGTTGCACACACACACATATATTCTGTATACGAGTGTGGAAAAATATTCTCTATATTTTATGCTATACACTAATATTCGATTCCTGCCTCGTGCGGTCTCACCTTGACAATTCATGGTCGTACTGATTTCTTTGGTGCCGTCATAGTTGCAAACAAGCTGGTGGCCGCAGTGAGTCGCTTCGGGGGTAAAAGTTAGTTTTCGCTGCAGCAAATACTCATTTTTTGGAGATGAATCTAATTCGAGCTTTTTGCGGAAAGTCCATTCCATGTCTTTTGATGGATAATGACCTGCGTATGGGTAGGAACTTTAATTAGGGTTGAAGACGTGTATAGGTAGACATCAAAAACGAACGTAAATGTTTTGGGTTAAGTTCAAATCTTATTTGATAGAATTAACAGTTTCTATAATATAAACAGTTTATTCATTCAAATCAGCAATACCCGATTCGTTATAAAATTAGTGTAAATCATAATTTCAAATTATCAGTGCAAAAGTGTGCCACTGCTGGAATTTTTTAAATTGAATTCAATCGTCACCTAAAATGGAGCAATACAGCTCGGCATGTCGTCCTATAGTAACGTTCACGCTTGGCCACGCAGTGCTTCCAGATATCGTCGTGATTCTCATGTCTGTGCGGGGAAATTAAGTAGGGAAATTTTAGTATTGTATTAGCAAATGAATAAAACGTCTCATTTAAATATACCATGATTGGTAGGAGAAGCTTGTCTTGATGAACGAAGGAAAATGCCCTCAATGAACCCTCATAAAAAATCAGGAAATGTACAAAACGGTTTTAATAAAACTCAAGGTTTCTTGATGTTTTTAATTTGACCTTATAGACATGACAAGAAATGAAAAACTAATTTAATTTTAAGACACTCATTGGAACAAAACTTGATTCTCCCTAACTTTTGTATCCAGTCGAATTTCGGATTCCATTCAGGGTCGCCCCGGCTCTATCGACTGGGTTTAGAGGTGAATCAGATGCGCCTTAAATTTTTATTTGGGCAAATCGGCCATATACCTTTTTGGGCTGGAAATTATGAGCTTATTGCGGGAGTCGAACGCACGATATAGGCCGTATCTACTTAATAAAAAAAAAACAAAAAGAGCAGCTGGTCAGGCTGTCTCATGTCAGACGCTAGTATTTGCGCGAACCATGACAATCACCCGCTCATGGAATGGCGTCGATGTATGTACACGTTTACGTTTGTTACGGCATACGATGGAACGAAATTATAATTGACTTTACAAATTTTTTTAGCTTACGTAGTAGTTAGCTAAAGATTTCATTATTTATAGGACAAAAGTATCTGAATTTATTTTACCATAGTTAAAACCTCAGGCTGCTTGAAGGCATATGGATATATATGATTAAGGGGTGCAAGCGGAGAAAAACACTTAATAAGTACGTGGCTGTAAAAAATTAATGCTTGTAGCTCCAAGAGATAAATTTCAAATCCATATCAATACATACATAACTAATATGCAGGCTGTTTGTTAATTGGCAGAAAAAGCAAAAGATGAACGTACGGTTTTGCATTCAGGTCCTTCAAGTTTTTTATTAAATGTTCAGTCAGGTCACTATGATTTTGGGACGAAACTGCTTGATGTTGTATGACAATGCATTGCCTATGGCAGGCATTGAAGAATTGGTTATACAAACAAGATCTACAAAATTTCAATATTCTCAGGTGAGGCTCACTTAATTCCTTCAGTCAATTATGATCGTTCTGTTCAATGGCAGTTGTCCATATTGGACGTCACTTATCGCGGTGTGAGTGTCATAATATCAAACTATGCTTAGGCACCTGACTACTTATTGAACGAATTGAAAAAATGTAGTCATTAGTTCAAACAACATCGATGACATACATAAGCTGGTCAATGCTTTACGGTTCTTGTTCCTCGTGGTTACTTTATTATGTTCGTAGGGTACAATTTGTTGATAGACTCGTTTAATGTTTAAATATTATTTCGGTGTAACGTGATGCAGCTGGAGGGAGTGAGTATAGACACTTATAATTACACGACGGTACACGTTGAAATTTTGGCCAAGTGTTCAAGAGATTCGAGGTTGCGGTCGCGTGCGACAAGTGCCGGTGATAAAAACCATCTTGTAAATCCTTATTGAAATGAAAGTCTAGAAATCATAATGTAGGTTTCATTGAAGACCAGAGAGTATTTCTTATTGCATTAAAGAACAGCTTCTGCCAAACTATACAAATCATAATGTATGAACCAAATAAAAATCCCAAACTGAGGTCGAAACCCACAGACAGTCAACCAGGAAAAATGCCCAAGGAGAAAGCTGCTGATCCAAAACCAGTATTTTCATCAGCGCCAACAATAACCTCCTCAAATCAGCTAATATCACCACATTATAAAAAAATTCCTCCTAGCATGGATCCTATCCCACATGGGCATCAAACGAAATGAACTCGCAGATAAGGCAGCATGAGAAGCTCTTTCACTACCACACACTGTGACAATATTATATTCAGACCACGAACTTTTGCGCTTTATCGCAGCGCACTTCCATGCTCAGTGGCAGCATCAGGGGAAACTCCTCATGCAGACTACGATCATACAAAAGCAACCTTGGGTAATCCACTTACCTGTCTATCCAACGCACTCATCAAGTGTCACTCGCCACAATTCGCTCATGAGCGACTAAACTCCCAAATTTGCCCTTGTTCACTGGAGGACAGCAAGCTCGCTGCATTAGCTACCATATTGAATGTGCGCTATATGTTGAAATGGCTAAAATTGAGACCTATAGATACACTAGGCTGTTGTGCAATATTTTGTGAAAACTTTGTGGTTGATTTAAGTGGTTATTGCAGAAGAATGCTTAACAGTATATGTGACTGTTCGGTGATGGCGAATATGAGAGAAGGTTTAATTCTGGTAAAGGAAGAAGAATCTTTTTCTCTGCCGTATGTGGAAAATGTTTGGCCCCCGTAATAGGTAGGAGTGTTTGGTACGGGTGAATGGGGTAGAATGTTTCGTACAAGGAAAATGTGGGATAATATTGAGCGGTGTTTAATATTGGGGAATGTTGATTGTTGAATGCTCGTGAATGTTGAAGAATGTTTGGTTGTGGGCAATGTGTGAGAATGTCGAATGCTGTTGAATATTAGAGATTGTTTTGTTCGGGCAATGTGGGAGAATTTTGCATTTGTTTCCGCCTAGTCTGCTTCTACCAGTATATACTGTATATAGCCTAGCGTACAGCCATTCAAATGCCCCTCCCTTTCCCCCATTATATCAGGGGAGAGGGCATTTTTAACGCACTATTCAAATTCGGCCGTTTCTACGCCAATTAAAGCTATCAGGTGCCAAATACGCGCGCCACACGATTGCCCCAAGGTCGCTCGGTCTATGACCGGATTCTAATCAGATGTTTATTTCACTCGTACAACAGAGCGTAAAGTGGACATATAGAGCCGCTAATTTACGCGCTGGGCGAGCTCAAGGCTTGGCAGTGAACGGCAGGATTCAGAGCACGGCTGTTCCTAACTTACAAATAATCATAGGATGCCATTTTAGGAGCTCAAAAAAAAAAAAAAACTCGTCATACTCGACATAGATCAGCGAATCATTAAATCATCTGGTCTTCACAGTAAATTGTATACGGGATTAGTAATACCAACGTATTTTTCAGATTCGCCATTAATCGCCGTAAAAGTTAAAAGGTACAAAAACGCACATTAGTTTACCTAAAATTTAGAGAAAAGTATGCTCTGTTCGAGTTACGTTTTTAATTGAGTGCTGACAACGTGTTGACAACAGTTAAATGTAGCTACGTATATTAGTAGTTCCAATATCGTTTCTGCAGAATAATTGTAGTCTGTAAAATTATCTCTGTGATTTTACTGAAATTTCATTGCGTGATAAAATCACACAAGAAAATTTACGATTCAACGATAATTTCTTAATCACGATAAGATAATACTTTCTTAAAATGTCTCACCTTGACTGACTTGTTGAGATTTATTGAGTGTACATCCAGAGTTCAGCCCACACGCATCTTGCATGGCTTTTGGGTTTCCTGCATTAAAAAGCACGTGCCATTGAATTTTGTATTTATTGATTCACTGAAAGGACTATCACTATTCTTGAAAGTGTTATTTATTTTTAATCATAATCAAATTGCGACATTACTCACAAGTATGCGACATCTGTATTGGTGATCTTCTACACAGGAAAGCTTCATCAATAAGATATTTATTGATTGACAAGGAGAAAGATTGAACCCCAATCCACTTTTCTCATAGAATTTTGGAGAAGTTTCATTGCATATTTCTACAATGATATTATCCGAATTTTGCCCCGCGCGGTCTTACCTTGGCAATTCATGGTCGTACTTATTTCCTTAGTGCCGTTATATCTGCAGACAAGCTGGTTGCTGCAGTGTGTCGCTTCGGGGGTAAATGGTAGTTTTCGTTGCTGCAAGTTCCTTTTTTTCGGAACTGACTCCGATTTCAGCTTTATGCGGAACGTCCATTCTAAATCTTTTGATGGATCATAACCTGCACATGGGTAGGAACTTCGATTAGGGTCGAAGACATTTACATCAAAAACGAACGTAAATGTCTTGTGTTAAGTACAGATATTATTTGATATAATCGACATTTTCTATAATATAAACAGTTTTACTTATTCATTCACGTCAACGATATCCGATTCATCAAAGAATTAGTGAGAAGCCAAATTTCAAATTATCAGTGCAAAAATATTCCACTGTTAGAATCTTTGAGATTGAATTCAAACGTCACCTAAAATGGAGCAATACAGCTCGATTTGTCGTCCTATAGTAACGTTCACGCTTGGCCACGCAATGCTTCCAGATTTTGTCCTGATATCCAAGCCTGTGCGAAAAAAATCGAAGCCCTTAGATAAAATTTAAATAATCTCGTTATTTTTTAAATTTATTGATTGAAGGTTGGTTTTAGGTTCGCAAATAAACATAATTTTGTGAGGCTTGTTAGATCAGCATTCACACTATCTTCCTATAAGCCAGCCATTATAACCACAAATCAATAATTAATTTTTGAAATTTGCAATGTAATAAATATAATAATACTACTTACTTCCGGTGTCGGAACAAGCAGTCGCTGGTGAAATCACCGTGACCATTAAACAAAGTAAAAACGTTATTGATATGATGTTTATTTGGCAACGAGAGTCCCTCAACTGAAGCATCATTCTTCTTTCACGAGGATCTGAGAGAGGCGCCGGAAGTGGTAAGTACATGATTTGAATTGTATATAGCACACGCTTGTGATGGACCTAGTAGCTCATAAACAAACAAATTTATACTTCTGTTTTAATATCAAAGTGACTAGATCTCTTTTTATGACGGGCTCATGTCAAGATAAAACACATTTAATATCGATATCTCATACGCATTGATGAAAAATTATTGAATAATTCAAAACATGTTAAGGGTTTTCCATATATGCTGTCAGATGGCATTACATTGGCTTTTAATGAAAGTGGAACGTTGGCACACTGTTAGAAGAAGGTTTGTTGTGCTGTAGTGTGACCATATGTGATGTATGGTGTAACCTACAGCTACTTATGTAACCTTATTCATTCAGGTATATACTCAAAATGCTCTTGATGCAATGATGAAATGTTATAGTGCGGAATGGTCACTGATGAATTTCCATAGAGACGAAAAGTTTGCTAATGAAATTATTGTTTTGTGATGAAATGAGTCATAGATGGAATGTGTCAAAGATACAATGTGTCAATGTAAAATGTCCCGTATGACGAGGTATCTGGCCACCGTCTATAATTTATTGTCTAAATAAATAAATGATTGTGTCGTAAGACAGTGAATGACGTTTTGAACCTGTTAAACTCAATCAAAAACTGCAATATGTATCCCTCAGCCATGTAATATATGTTAAAAAACAGTATTTACAAATTTACGTCTTAAAGTTTTTTTCCCGCCGTGTTGAATTTTGCGGAAGAGGCGATAAATTTACACAATACACTTGACAACCGTGACTATTCCTCGGCACTGACAACGTCACAATAGCACCGCGTTTACTGAATAAACTTCAGGCTAACTAACTTCTTATCATCTGATAAGACTTCATGTTGCAAAGTATTTACGGAAGTTAGTGTAAAGCTGCTCAGTGCGCACATGGATTTAAAGAACGTTCAGGCACCTGCGCACAATATAGAAATGAAATTCGTTAATTAATCCATCTGTCTTGCATCAATTTCATTTTACGTATCATGTTGTAAGTCTATGACTGGTAATTAATGACATAGCCGGCTGGCAACTTTGGTAACCTACGGCGGATTTGATAGCTATGTCGTGGTTCAATGTCAGTTGGATGGTCACTCAACGCGTGTACTCTAACGTACAATAAATTTCATTCAGTCCTAAACAAGTTCATCTTGAGGTCGAGAGCGTATATGTGAACCCATCTTATGAGCCAGATCGACATAGTATTCTCAAAGTTATACATAATTGAGGACGTCGTTTCCATAGATAAGTTCGCCGTGCAATGAAAGAGGCCTGTTAAATATTTTATTAAAGCGGAATATATAAATGCTTGAAAAAACGTTATCAGCACCCTAACAGACAAGCTTGAGCGTTCGCAATTCGTGAATCAGTATTACTCAACAGGTATTTTAGTAACTCATTATCGTGTATTTTATCCTAAATGATTTACAAACATAATGTATCATTTGCTTCGTAGGAGAGGATCTGCGTACACCGTTTCAATTCTTCAACGTTGAGTTAAGAAAGCTTTTTGCTACTAGAAAATTACGCTATTAGATTAGGTACTTTTACTGTTTATGAAAGTAATGAATATTTGTGAAATAGTACATTTTAAAAGCCGTATAGTGGAACGGTGACACTTGGATTTCAGGACATCATTCGAGCTTGTCTTGTCAAGTTTTACGGAACAGATAGCTAAACGCAGATCATTTGTCATCAGTTGGATGACAGTTCGTATGTCAAATGTCTTCTAATTAATTAACTTTTTCATTTCTCTTTTCGTGTATGGTATTATAGTATCAAGATTTCATACCATACCATATATATAAATATGATTTTGGTTCTCTTCATATTCCAAATAAATATTTTTAGGGTCAACTATTTGATAATATAGTCCGAGATTTTGAGAAGATCATCAGTGATTTTTACTTGCAGTTATCGATAGTATATATTGATAATAATCAATAATTGTGAAGATCACAACTATTAGATTTATATGAAGTTTAGTCGGAATTTCCCAAGAATTATTTGAAATTAATTATAATTTTTGGCTGCCACCTTGGCTAAATTGTCACTAATTTTTGCTTAATTAAATATTCCGAACAAAATGGAGAAGTTTGATATATTCTAAGCCTAACTTATTTATACTGGAGTTATAGCCCTTTCTTTTCCATCAATGTTTTTCCTATAAATGGCCTCTTGAAATTACAGCTTTGATGGCAAATTATTTTAAGATGTGTTTGAGGCTTTAACTATACTGAGAAAATGAGAAAAATTCTAGGTTCATCTAACATATAACTAGATTCTCATTTATCATGTATCTATTGCATTTTGTTTGTCTGGAATAACAGCGACTCTGGTGGAGCCCGTCAAGCAATTAATGAGACGCTGTTGATGCCCCCTAATTTGTTGAATCAGTGTCTCGATTGTTAAGGTAGAGTTATTTCCTGCTTTGAATTCCTTGCCCAACATTGCAATATTTTCATCATTATTACCAATACTTTTCCAAATTATTTTCTTCGAATTCTTATTTTATCGGTGCAGTTATGTTGGGCTACGTGTAGTCGTCTGTAATACGACGAAGCTGTTTTAACATACGATCCGAAGCTGGAATAGTGTATTACCATTGTTGACAAGCCGTTTTTCGAACTTCGTCGATTGTTTCTCTATGCTTGATTGCCTGCATTTTACCGGTAATGGATGTTTCGATGATTAGAATGAAGGAAAATTGAATTTTTATACTGCTTTTATATTCAAGCGTAATAATTTATCGATGCGTCAACCTTGTTAGTTGCAAATAAATTCCTTTAAGTGAGGTTGGGCCAGCAAGTAGATGCCTTCATTTTGTTGCTCATTCATTCCAATTTAACATACATCACAATTAGAAGTATTTAATGCAAATTCACCAATGGCATAAGAAATGTTTTAATCGCACTCGAGCATTTTATAATTGCATCATTGTCATGTTGTAAATCAGCAAAAATAATTTTTAGCCTTTAACTCAGAAAGCGAGTTGCAATTCGAGAAAAATAGGCTAGAACACACTTGCTTTTGATCTTTAAATAAGAGTTGACATCCACGGAACTTTTAATTTTTAAGAATTTTAATTTTATCGCATGAAAATAAATTCACAATATCATTAAAAGATGCATCGAATGAAGACTTACCTGGAACCAACGAGGAAGCAACAGTTGTTGTAAGTAGCACCAAACTAAACGGGGCATAAATAATGAATGTATGTGCCGGAGTATGCACTGCTGCCTTACCCGTTCAAGGGATCCACCTCGACTAGTAAAAGAAAGCTGGGGTTTGTAATCTCTATTAGAACAACTGAACTGATAAGAAGTGTGAGTAGATAATATTTATTGCTACATTTTATTTCAAAGGTGAAAATTCAGATGCTGATATCAACGTGAACATGAGAATCTGTTTCTTAAGTGGCTGCCCTTGAGAATTAAATAGTTAATATTAAGCCAACTAGCTTATCATTGACGTTTGAGAGCTAGCTAATCATTGCCAAGAATTATGACGCATAATTCTCGGAAATTATAAGTAAAATGACTAAAATCATTGATAAGCGATTGCAGCAACAAATTGCTTCATAGACGAAATTATTAATTCAGATAAAATTTCATTCATTTGAATATTTACAGACGACGAATGTGACAAATGCTTGCAGTAGTAAGTTAAAGCATTTGTTTTTGAATGAAACAATACAAATTTGAACATCATCAATAAGAGATCAAACAAAAATTCTGCGAAGTCGTGCTGCCCTGTGACAAAACTGGCAACACGACCATCTCAATTGAAAACTTGAATCGGCTTTCAGGAACGATTTCTTTCGGCTGCCAGGGACGCGTTCTTTCGGCTCTCAGGGACGCGTTCTCTCAGCTGTCAGGGACGCGTTCTTTCGGCTGTCAGGGACGCCTTCTCCCGGCTGTCAGGGACGCGTTCTCTCGGCTGTCGGGGACGCGTTCTCTCGGCTGTCATGGACGCGTTCTATCGGCTGTCAGGGACGCGTTCTCTTGGCTGTTAGGGACGCGTTCTCTCGGCTGTCAGGGTAGCGTTCTTTCAGCTGTCAGGGACGCTCTATTTCGGCTGGTAGGGACGCGTTCTTTCTGCTGTCAGTTACCCGTTCTTTCGGTTGTCAGGGACACGCTATTTCGGCTACCAGGGACGCATTCTTTCGGCTGTCAAGGCCGCGTTCTTGCTGCTGTCAGGGACGCGTTCTTTCCGCTGTCAGGGACGCGTTATTTCTGCTGGTAGTGACTTGTTTTTTAATTCGGCTGTCAGGGACGCGTTGTTTTTAATTAATTTTTAAATAAAGCGGAGTATAAATGATTGAAATACGTTATCAGCATGCTAACTGACAAGGCGTTCTCAATTCGTGAATCAGCATTATTCAGTAGTTATTTTAGTCACTCATTATCAGGTATTTTGTCTTAAATGATTTACAAACACATGAAGTATCATATGTTTCTTAGAAGATGATCTGCGGACAGCCTTCCAACTCTTCAACGTGGAGTTAATAGAAGCTTTTTATTACTGGAAAATTACACTATAATATTAGGAAATTCCAATGTTTATAATAAAAGGAGCGAATAATTAAGGAATAGTAGACCTTGAATGTTTCAGCCGTAGTGGAACAGTGACAGTTGGATTCATTTCAGGACATCAATCGAGCTTGTTTTGTCAAGTTTTTTTGGACAGAAAGCCACACGCGCGCTGACCATTCTTCATCAGTTGGATGACAGTTTGTTGTCTAATGTTTCGTATGTTGTAGTGAATGGAATGGAACGAATGGAATGGAATGGAATGAGGACGTCGAATGGAACGACGTCCTCAATTATGGAAGACTTTGAGAACATCTTCTGTCGATCTGGCTCATAAGACGCGTTCACATATACGCTCTCGATCTCAAGATGAACTTGTTTAGAACTGAATGAAATTCATTGTAGGTTAGAGTGCGTGCGTTGAGTGAGCATCCAACTGACATTGAACCACGACATAGCTTTTAAATCCGCCGTAAGTTACCGTAGTTAACACGGCAATGTCATTAATTACCTGAATTAGACTCACAGTATGAAATGTAGGATAAAATTGATCCAAGACAGTTGGATTAACTAAAGAATTTCATTTCAATTGTGCGCAGGCAGTGATGCCTGAACGTTCTTCAAATCCATGTGCGCACCAATAGCAGCTTTGTACGAACTTCCATAACTACGCTGCAACATGAAGTCTTATCAGATGATAAGAAGTTAGTTAGTCTGAAGTTAGCAGAAGTTACTTCAACAAACGCGGCGATAGTGTGACGTTGTCAGTGCTGAGGCATAGTCATGGTTGTCAAGTGTATTTTTGTGAATTTATTGCCTTTGCGCAAAATTCAACTGGGCGAAGAGAAAAAATATTCCAGATGTAAATTCATAAATACTTTTTATCTATTTTACCCGGCTGTGTAGTAAATATTGCAGGTTTTGATTCAGCTTAATTAATAGGTTCAGACGTCAATCACTATCTCACGATACCTTCAATTCTTTATTTAGACAAAAAATTATATGCTAAAATAAGATAAATGTCTCAAACGGCGGCCAGATACCTCGTCATAAGCTACATTTCACCTTTGATACGCTCCACCCTTGACGCATCTCATTTTTGACTCGTTTTATCTGTGGCACATTTCATCTTCTACGCATTGTATCTCTGACACATTTCATCTTTTACAAATTTCATCTCTGACACATTTCATCTTTTACAAATTTCATNCTGACACATTTCATCTTTGACACAGTTTTTCATTGACACATTTCGTCTTTGAAACACTTCATCATTGTAGCAATTCATCATTAAACATTTAATCACTACAGTAATTCATTGTTGAACATTTCAACACTATGGCAATTCATCATTAAACATTTCAACACTAGATCGATTCATCATTAAAAATTCCATCACCAATATATTTCATCATTGCATAAATTTCATTTTGCAGACATAAGTACGTGTACATATGCACTCCAGTAAGAAGTATATTTCGAATAACTTATAAAATTCGTTTACAGTTTCTTTCGTCGATTAAGTTTGCCTCAAACAGCAACAACAAAATGATGAAGTTGTTTCTTATTGCTTTTTTCTTGTTCTGGTCACCATCACCTAGCGCACCATCAGCAATTATGAGTAAGTATTCAGTTTCATGTGCTTATCATTGGGGCGTAATTTTACTCTTTCATTAGATACACTATACAATCGCATCATTCACATAGTGTGTCTGAAAACGTCAATTGAACGAGAACTAACAACAAGTTTCATTCTATTTGTGATATATGATGGATGATTTCACGCTGTTGGGGCTGTAATTAAGGACTCTCCAATTATCTTTTAGTATCATTATCGTTCAGTATCGTTCAGTATCAGAGGGTTATTGATAATTCACATTTAAAATACTTTATTGTACCTCTATATTGGAGATGAGTAAACTGAGTAAATCACGAGTTAAAGAATTTAATGACGAATTTGCGGTCGCAGACACTTATGAAAAAAGACACTCATGAATGTCGATATCTTTTGTTGTATCTTCAATCTTGATCTCTGCTATAAGGCGTCAACTTGAGTCTTGAAGTTTGAGATTTTCACAAACAAACCGTACAAAATTAATTTGGTAAATTTCTAAAAAATAATAAAGTAAGCAAAATAGACATATCCATAAATGCAAAATCTAAGTATTTTACAAATATATTCACAATCTTCATATATGTACATATTCACATCTAATCCTAACAAAGCACTTGCAGTAGCTTCAGCTTCCCACGATACAATACCAATGCAAAATTTAGTATGAAAAGCATATTGTGCGACAATTATCACGCCTCATTATAATACATTTATGATACAAACGATTTTAATCTTTTTGCAAGGTCAGCATTACTCATGAAGATATTCTTGTCTTTGAAACCCAGACGCAGAAATGAGTATCACGAAGGAAGATGGCAGCAGCGTTGGACCAAGCTTAGAAATACAGCCTGGACAAGGCATGAACCTCACCTGCACGATAGAAGGTTCTGCCAAAATATAGTCAATGTTACAAAGAGAAATTTAGGGAAAATTTTCTCAGTAGTCCAATTAATGTCCCCAGACATGAACTACCTTAGCTTATTGGTAATTAACAACATTGAGAATTGATTCTATGTAGTTTTGTCAGGGAGCCAATAAAAATTTGTGAAGCTGTAAACCCAAATTCGTACCAATTTAGCTCAATTGAAGATGAATTTCAATGACTCACAGGTTATGGACTCTCGCTTGACTTACTGTGGTATGAAGAAGGGCAAGTGCTGAGGCATCAGACGAGCATTGAAAAAAGTGCCTTCATGCAGCAGCATCAGCTGCGACTGACATACAGCGATGACTGCGACCGCAAATTTACATGCATTTATGGTGATGAAGATGAAGTTCAGCTTGCCAAGAGCACCACCATAAAGTGTCTAGGTTAGCGGGAATGAAGGTGAAACAAAGGAAAAAGTCAGTAGTAAAAATGTTGTCATCGTTCTTCAATTAATAGATGATAGTAAATCCTAATGAAAGGAGTATATTGAGCATCAAAAGTGGATCAACTATTTTCGCATCAATTTGATACGAGCATTGTTAAGAATAAAATACGAATACTTCGAGAAAATTAAAATGGAATTCATTATTTTATTGTTACTTTTATAATTCTAGCAAAATACCCATTTCAAATTTCACGATTCACAAAAGGAATAACTCAAATCATTTGAGTAGAACATTGAATGATAGGAGCAGAAATTCAGAAAATTTAACTTCGTTCTATTCTTACGTAAATTAAGCCGAAAAATTTTTCTGCCCGAGTTGAATCAGCCGGAGTTGAATCAGCCGGAGTTGAATCAGCCGGAGTTGAATCAGCCGGAGTTGAATCAGCCCGAGTTGAATCAGCCGGAGTTGAATCAGCCGTAGTTGAATCAGCCGGAGTTGAATCAGCCCGAGTTGAATCAGCCGGAGTTGAATCAGCCGGAGTTGAATCAGCCGTAGTTGAATCAGCCGGAGTTGAATCAGCCCGAGTTGAATCAGCCGGAGTTGAATCAGCCCGAGTTGAATCAGCCCGAGTTGAATCAGCCCGAATTGAATCAGCCGGAGTTGAATCAGCCGGAGTTGAATCAGCCGGAGTTAAATCAGCCCGAGTTGAATCAGCCGGAGTTGAATCAGCCGGAGTTGAATCAGCCGGAGTTAAATCAGCCCGAGTTGAATCAGCCTGAGTTGAATCAGCCGGAGTTGAATCAGCCTGAGTTGAATCAGCCCGAGTTGAATCAGCCCGAGTTGAATCAGCTCGAGTTGAATCAGCTCGAGTTTTATCAGACCGAGCTGAATCAACCAGGCCGAGTTGAATCAGCCAGCGTGAGTTGAGCATCAAAACACACACACACATACACTATACACAAATTAAGATTTTAGTAGTCTCATTTCAATGGCTTTTGGGCCGTACTTTCGCAACACCAAACCAAAAAGGGCAGCTCTAGGCTAAACACTTCAAAAGCCCTCATGGGAACAACATTCAGACAAAAAATAGACCTTTTCACTAGTATACAAATGATACATACGCTCAGTGCTGGACTATGCCAGTCCAGGCTTGGCACCTGTCATCTAACCCACGCTCCACAACCACATAACATGTAGACCTTACAAAACACAGCATTCAGAATCGCATTATAGGCAGCCCGCAGACCTCACCGTCCAGAGCGCCCAGCTGCCAAGCACTACCCAACACAGCACACACAACTATACAGTCACTCAGCTGTGTGGTCCGAGCGCCTCGGGTTGTGGTCTTTCTTCGCGACGCGGGCTTCCTGACGTCGCCGGACCCGAGCAAATAACAGATTCAGCCAAGCAGCCAACAAACCCAACCAAGCAGCCAACCACCTCACCAAATAGTCAACCACTTCAGCTATCTAAGCAGGCAACCAATTCAGCCGAGCAGCCAACAACATCCAATAAGTGGCCATGCCATCTCTGTCTCCATTGCATGATTAATAATTCATATCACCACATTTGCGGACAATTAGCCATCATAAAAACACAGGTGCTCCACTCTTAATTTTCATTTTGGGAAGGCTCATCTGTCAGTCATGATATTACGATTATCCTGGTTGATTATAATCTTACGGCTAATTTTCGTAACATTTGATTATTTAAAATATCTAAGTTATTTGCAATTCGTGTGACTAAAAATTAAACTTTAAATTATTTATGGGAAATATCTACCATGCATTAATATAATGATGAACCTTTTTTTCGGGGCCCAACTTGCCCACGTATGAATTTAGCCATCATGTGTGAATTTAGCGTCACATAAGAAGATGCTCGTCATTTCGCAAACCTTGTTAAATTTTTGTATATCATGATAATATATGGCTAATCATATGCGATTAATTGCTATGATCTGGCAATGAGCAGTTCAACAGTCTTAATTTATTGCAGTTCATCGTAATTAACAAAGGAGGGAATATCAAAAACAAGACGAGATTGCATAAAAATTAGCATACAAACTCAAATAATTTCTGCAGCCGTAGCGTTTGATTCAGACTCGAATAGCGTTTGATTCAGATGTCACGCGAATAGACTAGACATAAACTGATCAATTTCCCCAGCATGATTTGTACGGTGGTACCGATTATTTATTGTAATAATCTTAATTCAATTAGTAATCATTAATTACACTTTTTTATGTTAATGCACTTAATAAATTGTAAAATCTCAGTAACGTTTTTGGTCAGTAGCGACAATTAAACTCCGAAATTCAGGATGCATAACTTTAGACCATCGTTGTATGGTGTTCAGCAGTCGAATAATGCAAATAATTACAGTATTGCACCTAACACATTAAATATTCAGGCATTTCGAATCGATATTTTTCAAGTCGGTAGGTTAACAAATTTAATTCTACTTGGTGCATTTACTTCACTCACTCTGAAGTCATAAAGATATTCACTGAAAGCTCGTTTTGTTCGTACTCTTTTGATTCTGAGAACAACGTGAAGTTGAGTTTTCACAACTGAATTCGGATATTGAATTCCATTGTACGAGTAATTGCACACGAGATGAAATTGTCTCACATCATGATATGGCATTCAAACTATTCAAATCGTCGACGGGCCTATCCAGGCCTATTCTCCAATGCCGAATATACTATACTAAATATACGGTATCAGTTTCTTCATTAGATTCGATCGTATTTTTCTGTCGTTATTGCTGAATAGTAGTCCAAGGTATAAATAAATTGCTTATTAAATTATAGTTAGGAATGCGAAATTCATTTATAGCTACGGGGACTCAGATTCAAACTATCTGCATTGGATCTTAATATATGAGTAATAGACCGCCAGATTGATAATTCCCTACTAGTCGAAAGAATCCGCGGATTAAATTCAAATGGCTAATAATAGGAATTATTTCCACATTTTTTGACGAAAAATAAATGAAATTCCATGCAGTCAAATGAGGCTGAAGCACGAATTTCCTTCCTAATTTGTTCATAATATGAGAAATAATTTTCCAAAGAACAAAATAAATAGTATCCTCTGATATTTCCAACTTCATCAAGTTTACAATATGAGTAGCAAAGTGATCTCTTCATTTCATATGTTCTGAAAAAACATTCATCCGTGTTTAATAGGGCAACTTGGGGCAGCGCGCCCCCCACTTTTTTAAACTAAATTTTTGATGAAGTTTTAATTGATACGATGTGGTTGTTTGATTTGTTTAAAGGTGCAACTAATGAGGAATGCATGATGTGAATTAGACGCCTATAGAGGTATTCAATTTTTAATGAAACACTATTTTGTAAAAAGTGTAAAAATGGGCCTATTGCCCCACCCCTGGGGCAATGTGCCCATGGGCTTGGGGCAAGGCGCCCACCCTTGGTCCCTTTACCACAATTGCATATTTTTCATTTAAAAATTATAAAACAACATTTTACAGTTAAAATAAGAAAAATGTAATAAAAAATATGGCATTCATTCATTTATTAACAACTCAAAAAATCATATCCTTAACTTGAAAGAATATACTCTTGGCTTAAAAAATCTATCACTGAAGTGAAGAAAAATATTTCATTGACATAAAAATATATATCCTTGACTTGAAAAATATATCCTTGCGATAAAAAATTCGTCCTTGACATGAAAAAATGTTCCCTTGACTAGAAAAAATATATTTAGTTGATCAGAAAAAACTTCGTTCCAGTTTCGTCCATAATCCAGATATAATGTGCAGAGAATTTAAACCTAATCGTGATTTCGGCCAACACCATAAAAACTCATCAACTTTTGGCTCATTGGTGTTGACTGAAATCAACTATTGGCAAAGCAAGAGTCAATCACTCGATAAGGGGTCATGAATACGCATAACTATAAACTAAACCAGCTGCCTTGAGGCGGCAAATCAAAAAATCATGCAATATGAAGTGTAATTTGTAATTCAAAAAGCTAGTCATAGTTTTGAAAACGTCATTGAGACAAATCTAATGATGTATAACACAAGACTTCACCATGGGCGCTTTGCCCCGTGACACGCGTGGGCCCGTTGCCCCCAATAGGTATCCTTTAAATTTATATCGTGTCAACATTTTATTTTAAAAGCTAATAGTCTAAACTTGATCTCAAAATTATCCCTATAAATATTACTTTCAAAATATAATTCACAATAATTTCAAAAGCTTCATCTACAGTAATCGAAAACAGTTTTATTTAGGAGAAAAAAAAAAAAACTTTATCTGGGCTGAAACAGTTATCCACTAATATCTTAATAATGCAAACACTTAGCAAAGCGTAAATCCGTACACTTCATTCCAGTGAAACTGTCGACCGGCGCGGTAGAGAACACGGACCAATATCTGCCATACTTAGCGAGAAACCCGCTATGGGCCCGTGACCCGCAGTGGGCTCGCTGCACCATGTTACGCTATTAATCTATGTTATATTTGTTTGCAAGACATAATAGTATGTCATATATTATAAGGTTAATTTAAAAACATTAAAATTTTGAATGTTTCCAGATAAAAGGAAAAATGTTTTTACTCATCTTTGGCTGATAAAGGTGCTAGTATCCTAAGTGTTAACCGAATCATTAGTTAAAAATGTGCACTTATACAGGCGAATCAAGAAGCTTACCAGTCAAAGTTATACTCATGATCCGATATGCATTGAACTTCAAATTTATAAACTATCAGCTAATAGTGCATGAAGATTCTGGATTTGCCTTTTAACAAACACTCAAGTTATTTTCTTGAAATTTATCATGGAGCAGATTGATAAGAAAGAAACTAATGCTTTCATGAGAAGTTAATTTTTTTTCATAAATCCAAGCTACGATGGACTGCTCTTCACTAAGAAAAGACATACAGGACTTCCAAGTGCGCTAGTAAACAATAGGAGCATAAATAGGCAGCTGGAAATGTCTATATTCGAATGGGAAAACTCATAGATGAATTTCGACTCCAATAGTGAGCTCTATAGGAGCACGAACAAGTAACTGAGGTGGTCTCAATTTTACTGAAAAAGATATAAATTAACTTCAAGTATGATATAAATGTATAGGAGCACAAATAAGAAGCTAGGATTGCCTCTATTTTGCTATTAATCTATATATTAACTTAAAAAACTACGATTGAAAACTCAAGGAGCACGAATAGGCAGCTGAGTGAGACGATCTCTACTGTAATGGTGAAAGATATATATTAACTTAAAGCATGATAATGAATTCTAGGAGTATGAATAGGAAGCTAAAACAGTCTATATTTTGCTTGTAAAAGAATTAGATTAGCATCGAGTACGATAATAAACTATAAGAACACGAAGAGGCAGGCGGGGCAGGCTGCGGCGGAGCGCATGGCTGAGCCGGCGGCCGCCACCAGAAAGAATGGGGCTCTGTTAGCTGCAGCCTTCTCGTGGTGGAATTAACCGACTGGTGGGCCTGGTGCCACTAGTAAACTGCTGCGTCAACCTCTCCCTCGTTTACGCGCCGATGAATTTTCGCCACCGGAGCAGTCAATGCCGGCCAAGCTGCTCCGGCTTCTTCTTCAAATGACCGGCATCGAACCTAACCCCGAACCGCCTCGACCGCAAGCGCCTCAAATCTCACCACGCCTGATTGCCACTTTCCCATTCACTACCAGCGCCACAACACCGTCAACGGCTGAAAATCCTTCAATTCAACTGCAATGATCTTCGGAACAAAAAAGACGAAC